TGGTGTCCATTGTTGACAAATAATATTACAATACAAACATATGACACGATCGCCGACATTACAATTGAAGAATCCAGCTTCAATCATTTGTTCACTTGACGGTGATGTTCGATGTGGCCAATGTGAAAATGTTCGTTTTCATATTTCTTTCAGCGTTTCTACTTCATCAAACTTTTCTAATAAACAATTTTCATGAATTATTTTTGTTTTTTCGTGTTTGGATGATCTTTCTCCGTCATTTGATGTTGATAATAAGAAATACGTCGAGTTGCTGCTAAAGACACGAAAAACTATCCATTATTAATTAAAGTTTGCCTTATAAATATTATTGGTTTGTTCTAAACCTGCCTGAAATACAGACATAGTTGTGTTCTTCATGTTTATTTTCGAAAAAAAAGATATCGACAGTTTTTCATGTATAGTATTCGAGTAGGATATATATGATACAAATCTCACATGATAGTGTGTTGTAGTTTATTAAAAGTGCAAAAGCTTCAAAAAAATATTTCTTTGTTCAAAATAAAGAACTAGTTCATTAGCGAGAATGTCAGAGATACAAGCGGACAAAAGCCTTAATTTCTGAGCGGCATATAGGACATGCTCGAAGCGAATGTCCACAAGGAACACATGTAGCTACATGACCACATGGTATACAACCCAGGCATTTTTCTTCTGTTAAACATAAACTACAAGAATTGAATGGTGATGAATTATTGTCTCCTTTTTGTGCACAAACATCTGCACCTTTCCATTCCATATTCATCTTCTTATTCACACTTCCTAGCGAACTTTCTCCAGCTGTTTCGGATGTAATGGATTCTGAGGATTTCGACATTTCAACATCAGTATTGTTCGATGAGTTTACCAGTATTTGTTCCGGTGCTGTTTGTTCATGGGAAAAACCTTCTAGAAAACTAAATTTAGTATTCAATTTTACACACAATAAGATGCAAAAGTCCTTGCAGTTCAAAAAGCAATTTTTCTGAAAAGTTTGAGACGATTTTTTTGAGAACTCTGTAGAAGATAAAGGTAGATCAATATGTAACCATGAAATCTACAAATCGTTGTAAATATTAATGCTTTGAGAGAAAGAACCTCAACAACGAGATCTTACTTTACTGAAAGCGAAGTAAGATAAATTATTTTACAATACTAGAAGAACAGTAATCAATCTTCTATCACAATTGGTCGCTTAATAGAGATCATCCGTTGGATGATTAAATATGATATCGCCTAGATGAAAGGAAACATGGGACAATGCAGGACAAGTATCATTATGGTCGACCTCGCAATATTTCTGTCATTTAGTATAAGCCCATCAGTGAGTTGATTCGACGAAATAACGAGCCAACGGTAGAAACACTGACGCAAAATCGTGCGATGACCGAGGTCGGCATGTTCTTGTCTGTGGAAGATACAACACCAGCTCGAACGGTTTGATAGGAAAATGCTTAGCTTTATGCGATGCTAATGTTAGCATACAGAAGCAGAAGAATACGAAAGTCAAATAGTCAACTTAACACAAAGACGAAAATTGGAGCTGAATAATGTTCACTGACAGAATTTCTGACGAATTATTCAAAAAGATAACTCGTCGACGAGATAGGAATTCAAGAATCCAACGTCAAGTGAATCTCAAAAAAGACCGGAAAGACAACCATGAAATAGAACGGTTTTAGTCTCATGACCCTAGTCGACTGGTTACTCATTCAGGAGGATATCGACGATCATTGCTGTGTTCGAATCATTGCAATTTACCTCACCCGCAGCTCCAGAAGGTAATTTTGGCTGTCTTCAAGATTGGAGTAAGATAGAAGTGCCAAATACAGAACTCGAACAATGAACTAATTAGTTTTTACTTAAGGAAGTATCTGAAACGATCATCTGGTCCCCAAACACTCTCGTTCTCAATTCAATTGACAATCTCTGGTCGATCCTCCTATGTTGCTTTCAGAAGTGAAAATCATTAAATCTCAATGAACTGACTCTATTTCTACGTGAAGAATGCTGCAGAATCAGCTTGTTTCTTCTAAAACAGTTTGTAAAATCAAGCACTGTCAAACATGAAACTTTGAAACAACACATGAATTTGTGGACAATTTTAAGAAATTCACATTAACTTGCAAGATACTTTTTTAATCAATACATCTCATACACGAACATGCAACTTGTCTTAAATATCAACACTTGTTGCATATACATAGGTGTGTGTTTGACAAAAACCACATACATGCAATTACAATTATTTAACTTTTCAGGTACACAATGGCAGATCATGCATAACTCTTATCCTTGCAAATACTAGCATGCAATATTCCTGCGTGTCCATGCAAGATATATGATTCGTATGCAACTATCAAAGTATTATTTGTGTATACTGTTAGGATGGTTAGAACTGTGCTCAGTGCTGCCTATCAGTGTGAAAAGTTCATATTGACGAAAACGATTATCAAAGCAAACCTGCATCGTCGGGTATATCTCCGCTAATTTGCAATGTATATGCTGGTTCATGCAAGAGCTGAGTGTTTTCTTAGACATGTATTTATTTATTTTTCGTTGAAATGAGATTATTCTTCTATATAGTCAAACTATAATTATTCGAAAATTTTATTCACTTTTTTAAAATTCTCCATAGCTATTAGCATTCGTGTACATGCGTATCTCAAGGTTATTTGACCATCATGATATTCTTCAATTGTAATGTACGTAGATACTCAAATGATGAGGAGTTTTATTTTTTTCCAGCAAAGATGTACGTTCGAATTTCATCTCTGAGAAAAGACTACTATATGTTCATGCATGATTGCTATATGTTTCACTTTTTTGGTCACTCTAGAATTTTCTTGAATGCTTATGTAAGAGTTTGCTAGGAAAAGTTTGTGGTTTGTCTCATGCAATAATAAAATGCGTTTACATGCGCAAATTCCATTGCATGTATTCACGAATTTAGTCTATCCTCTGACACATTCACATGCATGTTATGTAAAAGCATATTTTGAGTGTAGTTGCAAGCGTTTTTTAAGCTTCTGCGTTTGACTAAACAATAGTTAACGTTCATTAATTTGTAGAAAAAGAGGAAAAAGTATTATTTATGGTACTGTAGTGCCTTCTACTATTATGCCCTATTTGTGAATATGATTGGTTTCCATATTTATCTTCTCTACTCTGAAAAGTAGTTGCAATATTGGAGACATAGACTTTTGGATCGTACTCTATATAGTCTATATCAAATACCTGTTTGTTGTTTTGCATGAATCTTCTGCATTGCTTCATTTGGAATAATAATATTCTCTTTCTTTCCATCGATATATTGGATTTGTCTTTGGAGAATTGTGCAAGCTATTCTTAAATCAGCATCACTGACAAAATCGTCGCCTAGACAGATATTGATAATTTTTTTTTCAAATACTTGCCAATAATGGCATGGATTATTTTAAATCTTACCTTTTATTTGAAGTTGATCTTCCCAGCAGCGTTTTATAATTGATAGTTTGAAATTTTCTTTTAGTAAACGTTGTGTAATTGGCAAGTCCAGTCGAGCTGCTACCAATCGAGGCAAAATGCCCTCATTTTGTATATTCAGTGGTCCATTGAATGAGCTGTTAACACGTGTTTCACATTTGTTACTTGATACATTTCTCTCGTGACGTTCTAAAATGAAACAATGTCTAATATTATTCAATTTTTGCCCTAGACTATTCATACCTTTTTGACATCGATTTGACTCTTGAATATTTCTATATAGTTTATCTCCACATAATTGTTTAATGTATGCACAATGAGGAAACCATCGAGCATGTTCAATTATTGGATTATCGTTTGCACTCCAATTTTGCAATGATCCATTGCAATAAAAGCATGATACAATAGTTCGAGTACCAGTATAAAAAAAGCCTGCCTTGACTAAATCATCGATAGACGGTGAATTTTCATTTGACCATGTTTTAAATGATTCATATCGTTTTGGTACTTCGCGATAGAAAGTATTTGAAACGGCCACATTAACAATTTGTTGACATCGAATAGAAGTATTATTATCAGAAATTGCAGAATTATCTCTCGGTAAATTTTCATTAATAATCGGAATTGATGATGTTTGAGAACATGCTAGCTTTGCAACGACATATGGACATTGAGGAGAAAGCATTTTGTGTACATCACATGGATCATCTGTGTATGGTGTCCATTGTTGACAAATAATATTACAATACAAACATATGACACGATCGCCGACATTACAATTGAAGAATCCAGCTTCAATCATTTGTTCACTTGACGGTGATGTTCGATGTGGCCAA